TCACCTTCCTCAGAGATCCCTGGAACTGGTTGGACATCATCATCATCAGCACCCTGTAAGGCTCAATAACACACCTCACACTCTCACACAGACTGTATGTAAAGCCATGAATCTGCATTCTTTCTAATGACCAGCAGGGGGCAACTTCAGGTTGCAAAAACAAAATTCAGTGTAATCTGTTTTAGATTCATTGGAAAACGGCTGACATGAAGTTGGTGAGACTTATTTCTCTGCCGTGATTCTCCGACACGTACAGTTATTGGAAAAGAAAGTTTTCACAGGACGATCCTGAGAAAAAAACAAGTCCGGCCTTATTGCCTTCATGGGAATTAAGAGGGTAAGCAGCCCCAGCTCCTAATCGAGCCAGACTGATTAGTCATACAGAAAATGATCACATCAAGCTGTTGCTGCTGAAGGTGTCTCTGCAAGCTACTCATTGATGAGGTACAATTCGGACTGCTTATACTGTGAGTTTGTTAACGGAAGAGCTCCTCTTTGATCACTTCTTTAACCTCCTAGGAACTGGCGTCCACGTGTGGACATCACATTTTGGGTTATTTAGACCGAAATACTCAATTTCCCTCTACAACGGCCTGATATCCACTCACGAGGACATTATACTCCTACTGTTCTATTGAAATTTTAAACAAATATCCTCATATGTGGCTTTCATTTTTCTTAGAAACAAAAATTAGGTAAAAAAAAAAATCTGGTAATTCTTTATTGTTACATTCATCGGGTCCCAAAATGCCCAAATATCAAAGAGAAATTAAAAATGCATGCCGAGGAAGAGTTCGGATCTTAGGGGGTTAATGTTGGTTACAGATTAACGTGATCCAAAAAACAGGAAACAGTATAAAAGAGCCTTCACAATAAGAGCCTCTCAGTCCTGAATAACAAGGCTCACTGCAGCTCAGAAAATACTCAAGAAATGTGATCTACCGATTGAATCCCCTCAATGCTGGACGTGACCTTTACAGTTACACCAACACAGTTCTTGTCAGTGTGGTCTCATATCCATAGATCCATGTCCGTGCAAATAAGGTGGGCTTTTTCCAGCTGTGAAGATGAAAATTATCTTTTTGCTGCTTTCACCACCACATCCATCCATCCATCCAGTTTTCTTCTGCTTATCTGAAGCTGGGTTGCAGGGACAGCAGCCTAAGCAGAAAAGCCGAGATCTCTTCACGATGTCCTTGGCCTGTCCCGGGGCCGTTCCTTTGTTATTACCCTTATATTTCGAGTTTAGTTGTTCCTTGGTTCAGGCACTGAAACTCCTTGTTTAGGTATCACTTTTGGATCAGTGTCTTGATGCATGCTCAATCATCCAGGTAAGTAATTCCCAAAGGTTGAATCTGTACACCTGGTCGTAACGTTTTCAGGAGAAACTTTCATCATCAGGGGACGTCTTCAGTCTCAGCTGACTGCAGATCCCCAACCATATAAACAGGACATTTGCACACTGACTGAAACTAGCACCACTGAAGGAACAATGGGCTGGTGATCGTGCGTGTGTCTGTGCGTGTGTGTGCGTGCAACTTGTATTCACAGCGGGGGCTGTCTTTACAGGTCTGAAGAAGACAGTCGAAGCTCTTGTCCAATCGGTGAAGAGGCTTGATTGTGTCATCATCCTGACGTTGTTCTGCCTGAGCATCTTGGCTATGATTGGTTTACAGCTCTTCGTGGGAACCCTGAAGAACAAATGTGTCATCTGGTCGATGAACACAAACACGACAGAGTTTGATTTCCACAACCACACCACCTCTCCAGGTATGATGGTCATACCACGTCCTGATTGGCCGGTTAGCCTTTTAAGACAGTCAGATGGCTGACTCGCAGGTCTTCTTCCAACATTACAATGAAAGCAGTGGAAAGAGATCTCATGTGA